CCGTATTTGGGACTGCGGATCTCTTGTCTGATTTCGGTGTGAGAGTAGCCAACGGGTGTGAGCCGGCACGACGTGTGTCATAGATCACGGGGAACGGATGGTTCGGTGTCACTCGGCCACCAACAATCAACTGCCTGCCACAGGGGCTGAATGCAGCCGTCACTGGAGGTATTAGCGGATTAGAAGCGGGGCCGGATGTAATGTTCCCGTACGGAGCATCCGGTCGGACGAATTGCATAACCGCATGGTGCCTATCCCGGAGATCCCACATTCGCACACCGTCTCCCGGAGCCACCGTGGCATATGTATTGTAGTCATACGTTGAAGCTTGTTGAAAGGAATTCTGTTCGTCGAATCCTGAGGTATTGGCGTATGCTGATCCCTGTACAAAAGATAAAATGTCAGTTGACAGGACCAAGGTAGCGAAATTCTTGGATTCCAAACCGCACAGTTCGTGAAGGATGGTACAGTTGTTACTCTTATATCATTGTGCGTTTTTTGTAATATTGTGCGGCCTTTTTGTGAAGACGCCAGTTGTATAAGAACTCGGACTGCGTTGCCCGGAATCATTCTGCCAGTGTATTTTGTGTGGATTCAGAACTGGGGTTGGTCCTGCATACTACAGTATAATTACGATCTACTGATGAAAATCCTTTCCGCATGACCACTAAACAGTGTTCTAGGATTGGTCCTCGTTCTCTAATGGTGAGCTACCATCCTGACTATTTTTAAGAAAACGTCAATATATTTAAACAGTCCCACAGAACACATGTTGAGAACGCAAACTGGTACACTAGCTTGTTTTCGGTGTATCTGATTCCTACCATTACAACACAATGTATAGAACTAATTACATATAGGGATTTACGAAGGAAAAGGAAAGTAAACAGTTTGCATCATAATCGGTCAGCAATCATAATTTGCTCGGGGGTTTCATGACGGGTCACTTGTCCGAAATTTGGCCATGGGACCTTGAGTGCTTGCACAAATTGCTTTCGAGCACACAAAGGGGGTTGTGAAGACGGATGCTAACGGCCTCTACTGTGGCTAGAATATGAAACTGCACTTGTCTAGACCGTAACGTTCTAGTTCTGGACAGTAGCCGGAACGCTTCGGTTACGTTTATGGTGTGATTAGTGTCGGCAAGGTGCGACACTACCGATATTGTGACTGAATTAATCTCTTCACTTCTCAGCCGTGTAGGGTGAGGCTCACGGACGAGCTCACACAGACGCTTAGTCGTGCCACCGACATACTTTGGCCCATAGGGATAAGTGAACTGGTTAGAATCAGAGGGTGTATTTTTCAATCTCAGATACACTGACGGGGTAGATGGAAATCGAGTCTGAAGCTTGGCTGAGCATCGATAAATTTATCACTGGCTTCGAGTTTGATTGGAAATTTCGTTCTTAGCTTGAACCCCCCTCAATGGACGTTTCCAGTACTTTTTCAGAACAGTTACGGTATGACACCCCTCAGGTTATCTGAGAGAGGGAAGAATCGTCCGTTATGAGCACATCTGCTGGCATACATTGAGATAGTGCTAACATGTCAAAATGCTTTCAGTTGATTCCAATTTTTTCGTAAGTCTCCGATAATCGGGACCGTTTTAGCTACATTTGACCATTGTCTAATAAGCCCGTTATGCATGATCCTGCTCGTACATTACAGCTTCCCGAGTGAACAAAATATAAGAGAACGGAAACAAAGTGCTGTGAGGAGGCGTTAGAAAACCTGATTTGACTGGGGAGTCGATCGCGGAAACATTATCCTGTATCACAATAGTTGGGTTTGTGATGATCTGAATGTCTGCGTAGATGTCATTCACAAAGGATATTATGGTTATCGGTTAATTTTCGGGCTTCTTTCACACTCGGGAATTTCAACTTAAGTCATACGGTCGGTTGTCCGAGACGCTGTTCAAAGGTTCGACAGATAATCACGACTGAATGCAATAATGAAACTGAAACAAATTTTGTGAACTTATAATGGACAAAAGAATTGTCCTCCCATCAAGTGCAACATCTGACGGAAACTTTGCGTTAGTTGGCTACTTGAATTTCAATATTTCAGCTATTGGTGTTCATTATCGTACACCAGGTACGAGATCATATAATTTATTCATTTATTGTGTAGGTATGTATGTAACGCAGTAAAAAGTGAAACTCCCCAGAGTCAACTGATTTTCAATGACAATCATACTAAGTTGTTATGGAAATAACTTGTACGAAGTCCATTATGCCGTCAAGGCTCTTCTGTAACCACACAACCATCCTAATCCGTTTTCTGCGTAAGATCTGTTAGGACTGAGCTTACTGGCAAAACTGTCTCCTCTGAGGTGTGCTCACTTACATGATCGATTGGGTCAGATTATTGGGGTTGGAGGGATGGGAGGGGGAGGAAAGGTGAGCGAATGGTAAATTAAAAATCTAATGAGTTAAACGTCTTGGTAACCGTAATTAAACAAAAGACTCTCAGGCGCAGTGGTTTTTAGTCGTGGCGCAATGGTTTGGTCGCTGTCACCGGCATGCTTTGGACCCAATGGTCCGAGCTTCGAGCCCCGCCACCGCCACCCGACTTTGATGGTAGGCAGCTCTGCTGTTGTCCGGTTCAATACCACGCCTAACCTATCGGGGCTTTATGTGTTTCGCCAATCAGAGTTCCGGGGCTTAGGTTGCCGATTTCCGCCACTGAACAGCAGGTCCTCGTGACTATGGGGTTTACCCCAACTGCTGTTCATCACACCTAGGTGTGCAATAAAAAAGGGCCCGGAATCCGGGAAACCGCACACACACACCGTGGTGAGATTTATTAATTCATAACATTTGGGAAGAAAAACCAATAAGATGTTGCACAAGTTGATGCATTTCATTTGCTTGCTGGTTTCAATGAAAAATGTTGTTGTAAATGATTTAAAGAAAAACCGTCACAGATACGACTAAAATTTAGGAGCATTTTTTTTTTCTGACAGAGTACATTTCTTAGCATCTGCAGGATAGAGTGTGATTTGCTTCAGTGTTTCAGTTTGAATGACGAGAGCAGAGTACTAGAATCGTACAAAAGGTCTACCATAGAATGGAACTCTTAGGTTTTGTGCTCCGGTTAAGGTTTCAGAGCTTCTTTATCGATTCCAATTCCACGCTCCTCGCACTAAAGTTCTACTAGTAATAGCACAGTGCATGGATATAGGTCGATGAGGAGGACAGGTGATGGATGATATGTAGACTGTCTCTCAAGAAATATCCATTTAGCTCCGCCCCCTATGATGGTCACTTGATTTGATGGCACGAAAAGACCCAGAACACATCCTGTGCTCGACATGAAAAACAGATTGGAACGAAACAGCTGAACGTTCATGCGCAATCCACGGTTCATACGACTATCGGACTGACGCAGACATTAACATGATGTTTCGCTGGACTGAATACTTCATCGCGTTCACTTTTCACACAGAATTTCGACAAGAAAGGTGGTCGTTTTGCAGGAACTTCGTAGCCATGCAGCACAGATGAATTTAATGGAAAATATCAGCACCTTGGCAGCAGGAGACTACAAAACCAATGTACTTTAGTATTTACCATCCGACTCACAATCACTTTTGAATAATGCTATGGGATAAACATTGCAGTCAATTTCGATTGTTTATTATTCAGGTTTCATCTCAGCATAAAAGCTCCAGTTCATCTAGTCAATCGTGAACGCAGGACGAATGTAGCTAACTGGACTTCGCACAGCCCCAAGTGTGGTATACACGTCGAACACATACCCGGTGAGAAACACAACCATTGAACCTGGAACACAAATGACTGTCTCCAGAATACATCTTCGTCGTCTGTGTTGCCGTCAGCAATTTGGTGAACATTCTCATGCATACAACGGAGAGATACTGGTTGTGTTTGTGCACCCCAAAAACGTGATTCCATTGGTGTGCTGGATTTATTGGCATTTTACGGTACAACTGGATTCAGACAGTGCCTATTCTCTGATATGCTTTCATTTGTTTGTTTCGGTTGATGCAATGCTGTTCTGGGTAGAGCCACATTTTGTGAGGCGAATAGACTCCAGCGGATAAACTCATTGGCAATTAAATAAAGATGTTTTCTTGAACAATAACAAGTTAACTCAGACTAGGGGTTTTGAAATCTAGTTGGGGCTGTTCAACGGACATAGTCCAGTCGAATGCTTTAACTCCACCCCTAATGGATTTTCCCTAACCGCTTTTGAATAAAAATTGATTGTATGGTTCATTAAAAGAACTGAAGGTTGTGCGTGAAGGTGAATTCTGAAGAATAGTCAATTCAAATTTACATCAATTATCTCACCTCACTACTCAATTAAATTTGAGTCAAATGTGAATCGTTGATTTGTTTTTCAAAGTAAAATGTATTCTGTACAATTTCGACTAGGATTACTAACCTCAGCATACCAAAATGAGGTTTGTTCTGAAAAAGGGAAGAATAAAGCTAATTTAGTATAATATACCCATAACACCTCAAACACCGGGATTTAGAGAACCACACAAGTTGGTTGGTTGAAAAGGCTAAATAACAATGTGGCGGGCCTGGTGGATTGTTAGTGTGAAAGAAAAAAACGTTTTGGGGATACATTTATGCAGTCAGTCACAGTCGTTCGTCGCTCTCCGTTTTCATTGTTCACTTACTATCCGCTAATCACTGTAAACCATAGATGATTTACAGTAAGAGCTCGCTATTACTTAATAATGCTACATTATTCATGAAATATTTACTTTGACACGCGCGCGCAAAGGCTCCTCAGCTAATGTCACAGCAATAACTTAAAGCGAAAAAACAGGGCTGAATATGGAGTACAAAACACTGACCTGGTTCAGTGCTATTCCGGTGATATTTCGGCTGTGCGCATTTTCAATTTCCAGAGCAACCTTATTCGTGTTCAAGTCCAGTATGGAAAGCCTGCGATCCGATCCAGCGCACACGATCAGATCTGAAAAGAATGCGAATTGTTGGATGAGGCTATTTGAAAGATGCGTTTGCAATGAACACCAATCAATGTGCTCCAGAAAGAGGATGTTGCGCGATAATACGTACAATGGAGAGTGAGGACGATAGGTGGTAGAACGCATGAACTAGATTAGAATATAATGTGGATGTTAGCGGATATCCGAGTGCAGGTAGGGTTAAATGCAACTGAAAGGGATTCCAACTCGTGGATGGGAGGTGACTGATTTTGGTGTTTAGCTGTATTCAGTGAATCTGATGTCAATAACAGGATAAGATGAGCGAGTGGGGCCGAGCAAGCGAACTCCGCATAACAGCAAAACGAATCATGTGATTCAAGAAGATCGTCAAATCTATCAGGCCAATTTGCCTTTCAGTATGCATTGCAATGTTTCAGTTGATTGGGAATACCATGGATGGATTTAGTATGACCGTACATGAAAGTAGCGCGATGCATCGAGAGTCGCCAAATGCAGCAAATCAGGCCGTGCAGAGCATAAAACAACTTTTTAATCAGATGTAACAACTCTAGCTAGAAACACAATGAACCGTAAGTGATGAAGCTGGTTTGGCAAAAACAAGTAACTGTGAACTGAATGCGAATTGAAAAAAGCGGATAGAGTGAGAGGAAACTTACATGAATAGAAAATATTAGCGGATGAAACAGCGGTCAAGTGATTGCAAGTGTCGATAGGGAATTCACCTTGCAGTTTGTAAAAACAACTGGCTTTACCTCTGAAGCGCAAAAAATGATGGATCAATGAATACCGAAACAAAACAGAAAGATTTGATGATGAATTGTGTAGTATATAGAACACAGGAAATGTTTTGTAGATTGTAAAATGATAACGTGAACTCACTTATCCAGCACGTTTTTCGGTGACTTCACCTTGTAAGAATAGAGACGAATAATATTCCGACAAACGAGGTAAATAAAAGAATCCATGTAATGAAACTGGGCGCACTGTATACTGTCCGGAAATGATTGTTGACTAGGCGTTTCGTTCTAGAAAGATCAAACCAAGGAGACAGANTTATAAACATTCGTCGCAATGAATGAAATAGTTTTAAAGACAGTTATCATTCCACTCCAGTGAAGTAAAACTAAGGTAGAATCAATGAGCGAGGTCGAAAAAGTAGCCTAATAAATGCTTTTGAACAACGATGCAACGCGCGCCCTTCGATTGGCTGCTCTACATTTACATGCTCTCCAACACATCGCGGGAATTCTCACTATCATACGGCGTCGGTACTCACGGGATGATATTATTTGTTTCAAACGTGCCAGGAGATGCTTCGATGGTTCAGCGGTTTGTGCGACTCCATTTTCTCACTGTCCAGGTTGGACAAAAAACGCAAGCGTGCAGGATGGCAACTTGCCCTTAATTGTACCCCTCTGTCAAAGATGACTGTCCCCTCATTGGTCATCACCAACACTCGGTCCCTGTTTCCCAAAATGTCGGATTTAACTAGTGTTCTCCGATCAACAATTCATACGAGCACGTGTGCAGTCTGTGTTCAAGAATCCTGGTTGAATAAGGACGTAGATGACTCTCTAGTGTCAATCGACGGTTTTCAAGTTTACCGGCAGGATCGTAGAACCGGAGGGGGTGTTGCCACATGTGTCAACGTTTCCTGGTGTGGCAAGTCCCATGTAATTTTTCAGTACTGCTCAAAAGGTACTGAGTGCCTAACTATACAGTGTCACACTAGATTTTCCCGTTTTACACAATTTTGACTGACTTGTATATAGCTCCTTACTGTACACAGTCCAATCATATGTCATTTTTCGACTCGTTTATACCTTTTATTGCCCCACATTTAGATGTTGACCTGTACATAATCGTTGGAGACTTCAAACATACTAGCACTGATCTATTGGGTATGACAGATCTTTGTCACTCTCCCACAAGAGGTAACTCTATACTGGACAGAGTAATTACCAACCACCCAACTCTTTATTCTTAAGCACTAAAAGCTCTTATTTCTTCCAGTGACCATTGCTTACTCTTAGTTTGACCTAAAGCTTATTCACACAGTGCACACAAATCTTTCTCCTGATCTGAGCTCATCGGATTTGGTTTTTGTAACTTCTCACCTGCAAGTATTTCTCTCAGAAAGGCCTCTCGATGGTTTTCATCATCTTTTCTCCTCACATGTGTCCCCCTATACACCCAAAAAATCAACGCCACTTTTAATTACTGCTGCCCTGTTCAAAGTCTCTGTGTCCAACGGAGGGATAAATTCTCCCCCACTTAAGTCGCTGCGACGAAAAAAAGGAACGCATAAAAGTCTCACAGTGCTTCAGCTGTCAGGTATTTGTCCAAGGTTATCGAAACTGAAGTAAATAGATTTAACG